CCGAAAAACGTGGAGCGCATGCAGTACAAAGCATTCGATTTCATTGACAATAGTCAAACTACAAAACATTCTACAGCGAAAGTACAAATTTGAGATCGATTTTAAGCGGTCGTTATTCATATGCCCACATACATACATATGTTACTTTTCATATCAATTCAAGTGTATTACATGCGCCCCACGCTTTTCATTTTCAATGTCATTAATTGTTTCAATGTCATTAATTGTTTATAATGACTTTTGCTAAAATTTCAAAATCAAAAGTTATCAAAACAAATTCTGTGGGACTGAGAAATCTTATTTTCTACTTTTTAGTCCATTTATAAAAGCGTTGTATATTAAAAAGTTTTTTTTTTATTTTATTTATTAGTACTTTCTTCTGCGACTGCTTTGAAAAATTTGTGCTTATAGCGAGCAAAATAGGTGGATATGGAAAATAGATTATTATTTTTGAACAAAATTCTGTTTTCAAAGTCGTGGCTGCTAGCGGAATCGGATCAGAATATTGTTACAGTAAAACCCGCTTAAGTACCTCACGAAAAATGTCAGCTTTTTGAGGTACTTAGACGGGTTGGGCACTTAAAAGAACCCGCTTAAGTACCTCAATACGGGTACTTAAGCGAACATAATTATTGATGTAGTTAATCTTCTTGTTAACTTACATAAATAAGTTCTTGAATAAAACATGAACATTTAATGAAGTGTACGCAGTTTAAAACCAAGACCGTAGCATTATTTAAACTTGAACAAAAACTTTATAATATTATTTATACATACATACAGTGTTGGACATATCTATCATTTCGGACCAAATTCAAAATAATGAATGCCACTTATGCTTATTTATTAATTTTTAAGGTCTTTCAATTAAAACACAGTTCATTCCCTAACGAATGCCTTAAAAGGGGAAAATTATAAGTAAAATGGTAAATGGGGTACGAAAACTGTAGGTACTTAGGCGGGTTGGGTAAATAAGCGGAAAGGTACTTAAAAGAGAAATTCTCTTCAGATTACATTAAAATATTCACGATGCCGAAAAATGTTAGTTACTTAAGCGTGTTAGGTACTTAAGCGGGTTTCACTGTATTTTTTTTTTAAGCGCGTTTTTTTTATAAGCATTTGAATAACAGATAGTTACGTAATTCTTATCTAGTTAAAGGTCAGACCTATAGCTTTTTAATTATTTGAGCATCGATTCTCTTTATAGATAGACGTTGACCATTTCTACTGGAAATCCCTATTGAAGAAGCTTACTCATTGACTTTAAATAGCAAAGAAGGGACAGTTTTACCACAGAAGTTTTTGCCAAGGATCCACTGTATATCCTTATGAAAATCATAATAAAGAAAGAAGCCAAAGCGGGTATTTAAAAAACAGAAAAAAAAATTAGTAAAGGACTATGTTCTCTTTGACGTACTTCAAAGGTCAAGTAGAAGTGGGAACTTTTATGGCTGCCCATTGATAGCTCGGTTATATAGCTTAAGAAATAGTATTTTAAAGACATTTTTATCAAAGTTGATAAATATGACATTTGACCAGTTTTGTTACACAAATACTCCTATGACCAGAGGCAAAAATATGGGCTACAATATGTAATTTTTTTTTTGCCATATATGTTTTATCGGTCCACTTGCAAAATATTCGCATTTTCAAAAGCTCCGCATTGATTATTGCGAATGCGAATGGAGAAGCTCGGCCAAACACTAAGATATGTGTAAGCGCCAATCTATTATTATTAGAATGTTAAAATTAATGCGGAAGCTCCGCGGTTGCGAATGCGAATGCGAATATTCGCAACAACCCTGATACATATGTACATATTAGGGATGTTGCGCATGTGGAATTTCAGACATCCGCGGATGCGGATGCGAATGCTGATGTCAGGTGTTTTTAAGAAACAATTCTAGCATAATGGCGAGGTTGATGCTTAAACAGCGCTTACAAGCCAAACCAGATGTGTCAGGTTTTTTTAAAGCTTTTTAAAAAGAATTCTTCATTCTCACTCCTTTGGCTGTTTCAAAATTTGGGGAATCTGTAACTTCATCAGCGGTTTTCGATTTTAGTTTTTGTTATTCATTTTTAATACTTTCTCTGCGACTGGTTTGAAAAATGTGTGATTATAGCGTGCTAAATACATAGGTGGATATCAGGGATGTTGCGAATGTGGAATTTTAGACATCCGCGGATGCGAATGCGGATGCGGATGTTCAAACGCTAACATCCGCGGATGCGAATGCGAGTGCGGATGTAAAGTATTTTTATACCCGAGCGCACTTGTACGCAAGGGTATTATAACTTTTTTCACATAACGGCTGTTTGTAACAGGCAAAACGAATCGAGATCGATATAGACAAATGTATACATAAATGATCAGAATTAAAAGAGTAACCGTATGTGCACACGATAACTCGAGTACAAATTGAGATATCTTAAAAAAACTTGGTATGTGTACTTATTTTGAAATGAAATTAAAAATGAGAATATTAAAAATTGTTGGAAATGGGCGTAGGCACGCCCACTTATGATTACATATATCTTGGGAACCGCTCCACCAATTTCTACCAAACTTGGCACAGTTGTTGGCCTTCACAAATCATACCAAACGGCTGAAAATTTAAAAAACCGGATAATAACCACGCCCACATCCCACATAACGGTAATTTAGAGAAATACGAAAGCTTCGATAAATCAGTAATCAATACTGCAGCTAATTTTTTCAAAATTGATGTTTGCAATAATTCTTTAGCAAAAAGTACGCATATAATAAAATATTGGAAAATGGGCGTGACCCCGCCTACTTAAAACCACATATGTGTATCTCGGTAACCGTTCGATCAATGTGTACCAAACTCGGTATGATTATAGTGGTTGCCCCATAAAGGCAAAACGTTGAAAGTTATTAAAATCTGACTAAAATTACGACCACCTTTTTATAACGCTAATTTTACCCAAAATTGATACTAACAACAATCCCTTGAAAAGAATTAACATTATGGAATTTTGGAAAATGGGCGTGATGCCGCCCACATATATCTATATAAGTTTATCTCATTATGTCTAACTGAAAGTTCTATCGAAGATGCTTACCATGTAGCGGTAGTTTTCGTAAAGGTGGAAAATTATATTGAATACTTGCGCCGGGTATTTAATGTTCGGCTCCACCCGAACTTAGACTTTTTTACTTGTTAAGAAATAATTTAGGTGAGTAAATTAGGTGATTTAGTTAGTTAGAAAAATGGAAAGGTTAGTAATTTTTAATAATTTTTTTTAGTACTTGAATTTAGAATTGGAACATTGTATTCAACAAAAAGTTTTTAAAGGGTCGTAAATAAAACATGCGCCACTAAATAACTACTCGCTCGCTGCGAAAAACTTGTAAAACTTGAAACTTGACAAAATTGTAAATTCTTTTCGATTGACGCTGCACCAGTCGAGAGAACTTTCAGTTATATTTATTTGTTTTTATTGCGGTGCAATAATTCTTTTTTGGGAATTGCATCGGTTTGCAAATGTCGTATATATCCATTAGAGTGGTTCATAAAAACACTCTTTTTGGAAATTCATAAACGCTACATCAGAATATTGTTATTTGTGATAAAAAAAGACACGTATTTTTTTATTTTGAAAAAAAAAAGTTTTCTTAGAGGTCACGCTGGTCGGTTTTTTTTTCAAAAACGCTGATGTTCTCAATTTTTTTATTTTCTTGACATGTTAAAATACAGCTAAAAATGTGGTTTTTACACATAATTACTCTGGTATTATTGGGAAACTTTCCCTTAATTACACACCTGTCTTGGACAATTAGAATGGGTCTAGTTCCCGAAAATATGCTCTCGAAAAGACGCTAGTAAAATTAAAACGTGGATACTGAACGATTTACGCATTGTCATGGGTTGGAACTTGTTACCAGGGGGTTTCTGGGGTTGCTAATTAGGATCCTGACGTCAGTTTTTCGAAATTCAAAATGGCGGATCCAAAATGGCGGTCCATTTAAAAAAAAAAGATTGGATTTGTTCGAAACCCGGCACTCGCGAGTTTTTGGGGTCGCCGATTACGAATCTGAAGTCACTTTTTTTTAATTCAAAATGGCGGATCCAATATGGCGATCAAATTAAAAAAAAAAGTATTCAAATTATAACGTTGATACTGAACGTTTTAAACATTGTCAAGGGTTAAAACACGTTTCCTGTGGGTTTCTGGGGTTGCCTATTACGAATCTGATGTCATATTTTCAAAATTCAAAATATGTAAAAAACAAATTTTTAGCTGCATTTTAACATGCCAAGAAATAAAGATATTGAACAAATCCAATCATTACAAAAAAGTTGGCCGCCATTTTGGATCCGCCGTTTTGAATTTCGAAAAACTGACTTCAAATCCCTAATTGGCAACTCCAGAAATCCGCTGGTAACAAGTTACACCCATGACAATGCGTAAATCTTTCAGTATAAACGTTTTAATTTTACTAGTCTCTTTTCAAGAGCATATTTTCGGGCACTAGGCCTGTTTAGGTTTGCACTAAACACTCAAAAGAAACATGAATTCGAAGTATAGGTATGTATGTGGTTTATTTGGGTACTCGCAAGGCGAACGTACCAATCACGTCAAAAGATTTACAATAATAACCAATGCTCATGTCAAAGTTGAGCTTAAGTAGAAGAATAGTGTGTAAGCAAATAATAACAAAATAGATAGTAGTTCTTGTATACGGTACAATGGCATGATCGAAGCAACGGTTGGGTGGCGTGAGATATGTACATATGTATGCTAACTGCAGCCGGTCACCTGATGCTGGTGATGCCGGATTGTGTGGCTTCAAAACGCACTAAAGTCAAATGCTGCTTTTGGATATTTAACATTCCTCCCCGGCTGAACCGTCCTGATTCAGAATTTGTGGGTCGATAAGACGACAAACCTTCTGCACCGGGCGTTGGCACCTGTGTTTAATGAAAAGTCCCTCCGGTGTCCTTTTTTCGCTATTGTACTCAATCGTGACGATACGAACCGAACCGTCAGTGCCAGGGTGAACTTCCACAATGCGGCCTATACGCCAATGCGATGGGGGAAGGTTCTCATTGCGAATCAGTACGACATCGCCCAGCTGTAGATTCTCTCTGCGTCTTTCCCACTTGCGCCGTGCTTGTAGAGTGGATAAGTACTCTCGTTGCCAACGATTCCAGAAGTGTTCAAACATTTTCTGCAATTGTTGCGAGTACAGAAGACGGTTGTCTGGAATGTTGGCGATGGGTGGCTCTGGTCTGGAGTTCAGAGGTCGGCCAATCAGAAAATCGCCGGGTGTGAGTGCGAGGCTTCCGCTCGGATCGTCGTGAAGTGGAACTAGTGGTCTTGAGTTCAAACAGGCTTCAATCTTGACGAGCAGGGTGCTTAGTTGATTGAAGCGGAGGACTTGCCGGCCGACCGTACGATAGAGGTGCTTTTTGGCTGAACGTACAGCGGCTTCCCAAAGACCTCCATGGTGGGGCGCTGCTGGAGTAATAAATTTCCATTGCGTACCCGATGATGCTATGTGCTGCTGAGCGTAAACATTTCGCCAGTCCTGCAGATCTTCACGCATCCGTCGACTAGCTCCAACAAATTGCGTTCCGTTGTCACTGTAGAGAATTGAACAAATGCCTCTTCGGCTTATAAAGCGATCAAATACGTCGATGAATGACTGGGTTGACAAACTTTCAGAGAGTTCTATATGCACGGCTTTTGTAGCCATACAGATAAAAATCGCGCCGTATGTTTTTGTTATACTGGTGGATCGCTTTCCGCCAGCTCGAATGTTGAATGGCCCACAATAGTCCAACCCAGTATGCGTGAAAGGTGGAGCTACTATTACACGGGATTTTGGAAGCGATGACATCTGCTGTTGCTGAGTTAATCGGGCGTGTCGACGACAAACGACACACTGGTGAAGGTACGACTTCACAAGTCGGCGTCCATGTATAATCCAAAATCGTGAACGCAGGTACTGCAGCATTTTCTGTATTCCACCGAGTAGGCAGCGCTTGTGAGCATCGGCCACGAGTAGTTTTGCCAAAGAGCAATTTCGGGCGAAAATCACTGGATGTTTCTGCTCATAAGGTAGTTCCGAATTCGTCAACCGACCACCGACTCGGAGGATGCCTCCCTCATCCAATATGGGGTTCAGTGGAAGCAGTTTACTTGATGTGGCAACACTGGAACAAGACTTAAGTGCATTAATTTCTGATTGGTACACATTACCTTGACTTTGCCGAATGTGCACTACAAGGGCCCATTCCTTCCCCTCGGCCGAAACCCACGCACGTTGACTTCGGAGTGACGGGACCAGGCGTCGAATGCGGGCAGTGGTATTGAGCAATGTATCCAGACGGCAACATTTGTCTACCAAAGGTATTCGCTGCCTTCCCACTGATGTCATTAGGAACCGTGACTCAGTGCTTATGCCAAGGTGAGCCTTGACCGGTCGGCCTTCGCTGTTGAAAAGCTGTTGCTGTTCGCTAGTTAGACTCGGCAGCTGAGGTGATGCCTCCTCCACCTGATGGATGAGCGTTGGTCCTTTCCACCAAAGCTCGTTATTTTCGATGGAGACTGGTGTAATTCCGCGGCTCGCGCAATCTGCCGGATTGTGTTCAGATCGAATATGCCGCCAAGCGCTGACATCTTAATTTGACTGTATGAAGGCAACCCGATTAGCTGTATACTGCTTCAAGGTAGAAGGCTGATGCCGAATCCAGTGGAGCACAATCGTAGAGTCACTCCATAATGTGTATGTCGCACTCTCTAACTGTAAAGCACGACGGACGCTGTTCACAGTTTTACCCAAAAGTTGGGCAGCGGAAAGCTCCAGGCGAGGGGATCGTCATCTCCTTCAAGGGTGCAACCCTTGTTTTCGCCGCAATGAACGATGTATGTGACTTTCCGTCGGTGGCAACGCATCTCAGGTAAACCACTGCAGCATACGCCTTGGTGCTCGCATCGCAAAACCCGTGGAGCGTCGTTGCCGAATGGTCGCTGATTCCTAGCCATCGAGGTACCTTGATCCTTTCAAGAGTCGGGAGACTGTTCCGGAATTTCAGCCAGGTCTCGCATAATTCAGGTGGTAGTGGAGTATCCCAACTTAGGTTTGCCAACCAAAGATTCTGGACAAATATCTTTGCAACTACGACGACTGGCGCCAACATACCCATGGGATCATACAGCCTCGCAATGTCACTTAAAGCCAATCGTTTAGTAGGAACTGATTCAATATTACATACCTTAACCTTAAAAAATAAGGTATCAGTGATAGGATTCCAATGGAGACCCAATACCGTTGTGTTGGAATCGCTGAAGTCAATCTCCGATGCGAACGCCCTAGAGCCGCTGATTCCTTTCAGGGTCTGCGTGCAGTTGGAGTTCCACTTATCCAGCTCGAATTTCCCTTGCTGAAGAATGGCATCAACGTCGCGCGCACGATTGATGGCCAGTTCTGTCGTATGAACACTTTCTAAATAATCGTCAACATAAAAACTGCGAAGGATGCTTTCTCGTGCTGCGGCTGCNATGGCATCAACGTCGCGCACACGATTCATGGCCAGTTATGTCGTATGGACACTTTCTAAATAATCGTCAACATAAAAACTGCGAAGGATGCTTTCTCGTGCTGCGGCTGCCCGGCTGACGTCGGCGATGACTTCCCAGTTATCGTATGCACATTGCCTCAATGCCCGTATGGCGTTAAATGGCCCGCTTGCCATACCGTAAGTCACGGTTTTGAGTTGGTAGGTGCGCAAGGGCTCGAGAGGAGACTCCCTCCATAGAATTTGCTGCCATCTCCGATGTCTTGAATCTACCATGACTTGTCGAAACATCTTTTTCACATCTGCCGTGAGGGCCACTGCATACCGACGAAATCGATGAAGGATGTCGACCAAGTTATCCTGCAGCTGTGGTCCAGTGAGTTGCGTATCGTTGGGTGATACACCGTTCGTTGTGTTGGACGATGCGTTAAACACCACCCGAAATTTGCTCGTAACAGCGTGATGAGGGATATAGTATCAGTTCTCCATGTCAACTGCTGTAGCCTCGGTCGCCTCCATGTGCCCCAGGTTTATGTATTCTCGCATGAATTGGATATACTTGTCTCTGAATGTAGAATCCTTCGCCAACTTACGTTCTAATTGAAGAAATTGCCGGAGTGCAGCAGGATGTGAGTTTCCCAGTGGGGTTGCATCTGGTCGAAACGGAATCTGCACACTGTACCGACCGTCGGGACATCTTGTAACCGTTTTGGTGAAAATCTCTTCACATGCGTCGACCTCTGCTACGATCTCACCTGCTGGGTCTTCGGTCGCCCAAAATTTTTGTAGAAGCTCGTCGATGGTAGAATCATTACCACATACCTCCGCAAGCGATGAGTGCCACGTTGAGTCAGATACATTTGATGTTACTGGACCAAGCACTATCCAACCTAATCGGGTGCGTACTGCGCATGGTTCTTCACTTGATCCAACTACGACGTCACTTAGAGCAATAGATGGCCAAATGTCTGCTCCAATGAGTAGATCAACAGAGTCCGGTACCTGAAATGTAGGGTCTGCCAAGTGAAGACCTCTCAGGTGTTCGCTGGAACGGATATTCACGGTGGTAGCAGGTGTTGTTGACGTGATCGAGTCAATGACATATGCGCTAAAGTCGATCTTGAACTCTTTGTCCACACGTGACTGCATGCTGACCCTGACAATGCCCTTGGTGCGCGTTGAAAAGCTTTGGTCAATACCCTCGACCCGGAACTCACAGGGACTTCTAGGGATATTCAACATGGTTATTAATGATTCACACACGAAGCTCACCTGAGAACCTATATCGCACAGAGCGCGACATTCTTGCATAATACCATTGCAATCGGCAAGAAGAACCTTCGCCGTTGCCAGGAGTACAGTCCGGTCATTCTGCAAGAGGAATGACTGGACTTCGTCGTTCTGTCATTGTTGTCGGGGAAGTACTTTAGGCGCCACCGCAGGGATCGCAGTGGCCGTATCTAGAGGTGTTGACGTAGACGCGACCTCTTGCTCTGACTTTCTACATAGAAGGGTGTTGTGCCTCTGCTGGCAGTTGGTGCACACCCCGGATGGACAGTCTCGGATCCCATGACCGGCCCTGAGGCAATTAAAACACAAAGATGCTTGCTTCACCAGCTCCCATCGTTTGTCAACTTGGAGATTTCGAAACGATTGGCACCTTGTAATGCGATGAGGATCATTGCAATACGGGCAGTTTATTGTTCGGTCCTGGGCTGCCGGCTGTAAATGTCTGGCTGCATTCGTAGATAGATGTGCCTTCACCGCACGCGTTGATGCTCTCGATGAAGAACTCTGAACTACAGGAGCTACGGGCGGAGATACCGGCAAGTTAGCTGCTCGCCGCTCTACAAAACTCACCAATTCCTCCATCTTAGGTATGTCGTTGGACTTTAAGCTCGTGCCCCACTCAGTGCGAGTTACAACCGGCAGCTTAGGCAATAGTAAGGGTACAGCTATGGCATCCCACTGTTTTACAGGCACATCCATCACCTCCAGCGCTCGGAATGAGTTACGTACACAATCCACAAAGTTGGTCAGCGTCGCACGATACTCTTGCGGATGATTCGGCAAATCGAGTAGATGCTGAACGTGGGTCTCCGAAAGGATGCGCGGATTATCATAACGTCGCTTTAACTCTGCCCAAACCTCCTCATAACCACCGGTGTACAAGCCGCCTATTAGAGGGACGTTTTCAGCCTTCACATATTGGCGTAATTTTCCCAGTTTGTAGGTAGGTTCTAAGTCGCGTCTGTTATGAACGAGCGTCTCGAACATGTCCTTAAACGCCAACCAATTCGTGGGCTGTCCGTCAAAGCTGGGGATTGAAACTGGATCCAACCGCATGTCCGGTGCATGGCTGTATACTTGGTTGGGAGTCCTGGTAGGTGGTGACATCTTTCGCTTCAACCTTATGCAAATGTTGTTGAACGTCCCCTCCGTGGAAGCGAGTAAATCGTCGTGGTCAGTCATCTCACCTTCGTGTGCAACCGAGACTAGGGCCGAGATTGTCCATAAAACGTGCGAAGTGCTGTCGCGCGCTGGATAAAAGCTGTTCACTTTCGACATCATCTGGGTCAAAGTTGTCCGCTTGAATTTGCGTCCAGATGCGCAGAATAGACGTGCGGGCTGATGTGCGCAGCTTTAATGCCGACATGTTACGTTCAACTATTTTTAATGATTTATACGCGATAAAAAAAAAAACTGAATTAATACCGTCGCGGATTCAGTCCTCACAGGAGGCACCAAAAATATTTAGGTTTGCACTAAACACTCAAAAGAAACATGAATTCGAAGTATAGGTATGTATGTGGTTTATTTGGGTACTCGCAAGGCGAACGTACCAATCACGTCAAAAGATTTACAATAATAACCAATGCTCATATCAAAGTTGAGCTTAAGTAGAAAAATAGTGTGTAAGCAANCAAATAATAACAAAATAGATAGTAGTTCTTGTATACGGTACAATGGCATGATCGAAGCAACGGTTGGGTGGCGTGAGATATGTACATATGTATGCTAACTGCAGCCGGTCACCTGATGCTGGTGATGCCGGATTGTGTGGCTTCAAAACGCACTAAAGTCAAATGCTCCTTTTGGATATTTAACAAGGCCCATTCTAA